GAAATGCTTACTTACATGCCCTTAACCAACAATGCAGTTTTAAGAAATAGAGTTAAGAAAATATTTACAAAATACAATAAAGTAAAAAACAAAATAAAAAGTAACAAACACAAATATATCAATCTGATTAAAGTTTTGTACGTCAACTCTGGTACAATGGTGATGACCGGCACTAATTGCTCATCCTTTTGTCCCAATCTCCAGAGCGGCTAGGAGATCCTCTTTCTTTGTTGCTTTTCATTCTCTCACACCCAAGCTGTACGGCAATCCAATGCCATTGAACCAATTATCATTAATGACTCTCCCCATTTTATCTCGCTGTATGCAGATGATGTCCTCTTGTTTTAAACAACATCTCACAAACTCTAACCCTGGTAGCTTCTCAGGATGTAAAATTAACTGGCAAAAGTCTGCTTTGTTGTCCCTTAACAATTCCAATGACCCTTTAACAGCTGATATACCCTATGTTGAAGACCTTAGATATCTGGGCATTGACATTTACAAGAGTCTGGAAGCGATTGCGACAAAGATCTATACTTCCTTTCTAAACAAGGTTGAATGTGATTTAAATAGATGGACTCAGTCCTCATTATCTTTTCAGTCTCGCATTTCTGTGTTGCCCCGTATGAACTTTGTAAGCTCTACGATTCCTCTGTGCCCAGTATCAGGATATTGGGACAGGCTTCACTTCATAGTGCAATCTCCAGTTTTATTTGGTATAGAAAAATACCAAGAATCAAATTATCGACTTTACAAAGACCCAAGTCTGCTGGTGGGTGGGATGTTCCAAATGTTACATTTTATCACTGGGCTTTTGTATCGTGAGCAATTCCAATATAGATAGATCCTAGTAGTGACACAGCTTGGCGGTCAATTGAGGATAAACTTGTTCTACCTCACAGATTGCAAGATGTTATTTACTACGAGATCCCCTTGAAACAAGCTAGATTTCATTATGGGCCAATAATTTCTAATGTTCTGTCTATATGGAAATTAGCAATAAGGCAGACACGTTCTCATGTAATTTGGCATATTCCCAATGGAGTAAAAACATTTTATTTACACTTGGAGATCTATTTGACTCAAGGACTAGGTGTTTTTTCAGCTGTACAACATAAGTTAATTTTTATTTTTTTAACCTTCAGTTACATGCTGCCTTAAAGGCCAATGGTGTTCCTTGGATTTCACATTTACTGTATGTAAACATACATTTACTGACTGGATGTATGTCAAATCTAAAACCAAAAGGAATTGTATCTGTTATTTATTTGAAAATTGTTGATAGTACAAACAAACCCTTGAAGATTTGTGAAACCATGCAATAATGACTTTCCAGTACTAGAGTGAGACATTGAGTAGGAAACTGTGTGGACATAAGTTGAGCATCTCGGAACCCTAATCCCCAAAACAAATCATTTCAACTTCATTCATATAATTTATGCCACTCCACACAAAATATATAAAATGTCTTCAGTACACTCCCCTTTATGTACTTTCTGTTCATAGTCACCGCTTTATTTATTCATGTAATGTGTAATTGTCCTCAGGTTTATTGTTTTGGGAAAAAGATCACTATATCCCTATCCAAAATACTTGGAGTCGATGTAGCCTGCTCTCCTCTTGTGTTGCTGTTGAATAACAATCTTTAGACATAAAAGAAGAAGAAGCTTGCCTTAAGATGGAAGCCCCCACATACACTGGCATGGCTCCAATTGCTCTTCTCGTTTTTAGATATTGTTCTTTTGGAATTGTCCACTGCTCGTTCTCAAGGTGACAATGATGACGCTTATTGATGTGGTCAAACGCAGCTGAAAGTGTAAGATCTCTTGATATGAGAAGTTAAATCAAAAGAGTCACTCGGGTGGGATGGGGTGGGTTTTATTTTGCGTTTATTTTCTAATTCATCTTGTTTTTTGTTTTACTTGAAATGGTGGAATCAATTAGCGTAGCGTCTATTGTTGCTTGGTATGTGCATGTACTATGAATTTATCTTGTGGTATTGATAAGCATGTAATGATTATCATGTGATATGGATGTGTGCTGACAAAGTATTTGTCATTTGTCCAACGCTGTTTATTCTGCCGATTGATTGAATACAGAATAATAATACAAATTCTACCCAGAGCCTCAAGACCTACAAAGTCCCTGAAGAGGTAACGTGTGTAACCCCAACCTGTCATCCTAGCATTCCCCTTCCTTCTGTAGGCTACAGTTCCAGTACCTGCTGGCCTACACTGAAGGCCTGGCTGTTGAAGTGCTGGATGAACTCTGCAGCCATCTTGTCTGAGTCGTACGGGCTGCTGTCCACGCTCTTCTTCTGCAGGAAGTCAATCTCCACAGTCATGGTGCCCACACACTGCTTGGACTTGTCAAAGTTGTAGCCGGTCACTACATGAACACACAGCAGAGAAAGGACACACACTGTGAGATGGCAAAGAGTTGTAGCCCTGTAGCTTTTCACCTTGTTTCTCAGTTTTTATTTTCACGTACAACGTCAACAGTCTGGTTGGTGTTCGATTATAGTACCTTGCTCGTTAGTGCTATTCACTTGGTAGCATATTCAATGAACAACCTAATCAAGGACTAACAACTAATTATTACCATTTGTTAAAGTGTACTGTTCATGTTACAGTGAGTTCAAATGGGCCTCACATCTGAGAGAGCACACTGCAACCCAGGACTGAAAGTGATTAAGGAACCAGCTGTTCACAGTGCTCGATCAACATCTGTTCACACCCAGCTTGTGTTGCCATGTAGCAGATCTCCTTTACATATCGACACTTTGCTAATTTAGGGGATCATATTTTGATTCGTCTAGGCAGAGCTAGTCTGGTCCCATACTGCATGTGCTGTAGCCAACTGTCATTGTTGCCATGCCTACATGTTTGGCTTGACAAAGAACAAAACACAGAGAGGAGTTGGCTGTAGCGCTAAACAGATCTGGACTACCAAGCTAAGGCAGAGCTATAGGACTTAGGCCTATTACTATAGGCATTGACGCTATAGATATGATCTGACAGCAGGCTTATAATGGCTTTGCCTGGTCAAGCTTCAAGATTGATGTCAACTGGCCTATCACAACCACCTTCCTAATACTGAGTTGCATCCCCCCTTTTGCCCTCAGAACAGCCTCAATTCGTGGGGGCATGGACTCTACAAGCTGTCAAAAGCGTTCCACAGGAATGCTGGCCCATGTTGACTCCAATGCTTCCCACAGTTTTCTCAAGTTGGCTGGATGTCCTTTGGGTGGTGGACCATTCTTGATACACACGGGAAACGGTTGAGCGTTAAAAACCCAGCTGCGTTGCACTTCTTGACACAAAATGGTACGCCTGACACCTACTACCATACCCTGTTCAAAGGAACTTAAATATTTTGTCTTTCCCATTCACCCTCTGAATGGCACAAATACACAATCTATGTCTCAATCTCATTAATGCTTAACAGTTATTCTTTAACCTTTCTCCTCCCCTTCATCTACACTGATTGAAGTGGATTTAATAAGTGACGTCAATAAGGGATCATAGCTTTCACCTGGATTCACCTGATCAGTCTGTCATGGAAAGAGCAGGTATTCCTAATATTTTGTTCACTCAGTGTATTGCAATCAGTTGGAAGCTCTATCACTGCAGCAAAGGATCATGGGATAATTGCCATTTCTCTGGCATAGATGGTAACATCTATAACCATTAGAGTGAAATATGATTAAGTTGCAGGGATTTTGCAAGAGAAGGATGTTGGGTTGTTATTGTGGAGACGGAGTGGTTATTGTGGCTGCGGACCAGAGCTAGCCATCTGGTGGCTAACGATGAGAGAGCAGTAATATAATGGCAATGGTAATCAATGGCCTAAATGAGGCTATTTGAAGCCGAAAGTACCTTACCTTCCTGCATTCACACACAATTACCTCACAGTTCAATATCATCATGTTTTACTCATACCTTCCACATCCTGACCAATGGAGATGCCTGCCCATTTTCTCTGAAAAACAAGTAATTTATTCTAATCAGTGTACGGTCCACACATTTCCTTTATATAAGCTATGCATTAAAAGACAATAGAAAAAAGGCCAACAATATTTATGGCAGGGGTGGGCAAACTTTTTGGCTCGAGGGCAACAATGGGATTTCGAAAATTCAACGGAGGAGGTACAAACATGCTCAGGAAAAAGACATTCTTACATATGTGGACGACAGTACATCTCCAATGTAACAACACTAATAACTAGGGTGTTCTGACAAAGACAGTGATATAACGTTCCTCTCAAGCATGGTCTTATTTTACAACCTATTTCATCTTTTAAGAAGAACATCAGTCACACAACGGTCAAAAAACGTCAGGACCAGGCTACAGGTTGTGACTGATCGTGGAACTGATGTGTCACGTACTTTACATGACTTAGGCCTAAGCTCTTGGCTGATGTATGGAGAATCACTTTACATGACTAAGGCCTAAGCTCTTGGCTGATGTATGGAGAATCACTTTACATGACTTAGGCCTAAGCTCTTGGCTGATGTATGGAGCATTACCTTACATGACTTAGGCCTAAGCTCTTGGCTGATGTATGGAGCATTACTTTACATGACTTAGGCCTAAGCTCTTGGCTGATGTATGGAGAATCACTTTACATGACTTAGGCCTAAGCTCTTGGCTGATGTATGGAGCATTACCTTACATGACCTAGGCCTAAGCTCTTGGCTGATGTATGGAGCATTACTTTACATGACTTAGGCCTAAGCTCTTGGCTGATGTATGGAGCATTACTTTACATGACTTAGGCCTAAGCTCTTGGCTGATGTATGGAGAATCACTTTACATGACTTAGGCCTAAGCTCTTGGCTGATGTATGGAGCATTACCTTACATGACTTAGGCCTAAGCGCTTGGCTGATGTATGGAGCATTACCTTACATGACTTAGGCCTAAGCTCTTGGCTGATGTATGGAGCATTACTTTACATGACTTAGGCCTAAGCTCTTGGCTGATGTATGGAGCATTACTTTACATGACTTAGGCCTAAGCTCTTGGCTGATGTATGGAGAATCACTTTACATGACTTAGGCCTCAGCTCTTGGCTGATGTATGGAGCATTACTTTATATGACTTAGGCCTAGGCGCTTGGCTGATGTATGGAGCATTAGGCCATTGACAAATGTCCAGTGAAGAGTTATGGTGTAGTGCATCGCTACACCTTCAAATGTTTCTTCTTCCGTTTACACTCCAATCTAGTTGTAAAATAAGACCGGGGTGAGGACGTTACCGTCATACCTGTGTGCCGCTGTGGCTGCAGAGTTTAAAGATGGAGAAAGAGCAGACAGAGACATGCAAGGTTAAAGGTCAAAAGCAGTGACAGACATGATAGAAAGACAACAGAGAGAGGAGGAGCGCGCAGACAGACGGGCCATAGAAGCCAGACAGCTAGAGTACAGTACAGCTTCAGCTGAAGTAAAACGCTCAGATGGCGTCAGCTACATCCACAAAATATTCCGCAGCTGCACTTGTAGAAACCCACTTCATCCTCATTGATTTAAATAATGGCTTCAGTTATAACACCCTAAAGATGTGGGTTAGACTTTTAGTCTGTTTATCGTTACAATACATTCAAGCAAGGATAGGTTTGAACACAGTGTGTAGCCTATTTATGAAGGCCATAATGGTGGCTCCTACCTGGGGGAGACTGAAGGCGATGGTCCCTGGGACCACACTCTGGTGGGTCTTCAATGTGAACACAAACTTGTGGGTCGGTGTGGTTCTCACGGTCACGTGACTGCGTAGAGGAGAAGAATATCATACAGAGAACTAGAATATGCAGGTTTACATGTATAGCAGGCATTATATTGAGAGAGAGAGAGAGGTTTAAGAGGGTCTGTACATTTTCCTTGAAATGTTCTAGGTCATGTTGATCTGTTCCATGTTGTTCTGAGTGTTAAAGATATACATATTTAGCCCAGGATATAATACAGCATACAGGCCTAATAGACATCAGAACCCTGGAGTGAACTAGAGCTGGGAGTTCCCAGGAACCTCACAATATTATATGTATAGCGATTCTCACGATTCTGAACATATTGTGATTTGATACTGCGATTTTATTGCAATTTCAAGTTCCAAACATATTGCTGAAAAGTGCAATGAAAAAATAAGTGCAATAGAAAAGAAGTCTAGAAGTACTACAGCGAAGATCCAAATTGACAGGGGATCAGTGCAAATGTTAGAGACACAAATGAGATGGGCCATTAGACAAACAGTAAAACTATATTTAAAGCTCAAATGTCCCCATAAAATGTGGAGGAAATGGACCTTATTTTGCTGCAGAGAGACAGAGAGCATGAGCAAACAAGGTTTGATCAGTGAGGGAAATTAAAATGCTGAAAACATGTTGGCACACAAGGATGGGTTACTTCTTTCACCAGGTGAGAGAGCTTTGTTTGCCCCAGAGGGACATGTGCGAGGCCAGGGATGAGAAGACCGAGACGAGGGCGCCATTATTTAGTGAGGTGATAGAGAAGGAAAACAGAGCAGAGAGTATGTGATGGCCCTGAGGCTTTTTTGGCACCGTGTCTAGAGAGCTGAGCCCCAGTGATGCACTGTGATCTGCCACTACACACACTGGCCTTTGATTTGACTGAGGCACCTCAGGGCTGGGGATCAACACACACGCACACACACTCACAACTTACTGTTCAAACTGTGGTTCCTTCTCATTCACGACTGCGCAGTTGGTCAGTGACAGTTCATCTGTTGGACATCGCCCCGCTTGCACAGTCTGGAAAGGAGATGAAAAGGAGAATCATTAACCATTAACAAAGGGAAACATGACCCATTGACATACATGTATATGCTGTAATGAAAATATTTCCCTTGGCTGTGAATCCTTACAAGATTTCTATAAAGAATGGGGCCAATGTGTTACATTGGGATCAACATCTCAAAATGGTTTGAAACACAAATAAAAAGGATTTTCATGTAGTTACACGTGTACTTTGAGGATTAAATGTGAATATATGCAAATTGGCCCATAACTCCACCTATACAATAACATAGGCCTAGGACTATACATCCTTTAAGCAGGGTTCATACAGACATTGGCAAGTCAAATTCAAGGACTTTCAGGGACTTTTTCAAATTGAAATTTTCAAGGACCTCAATGTTATACAAGTGTATAATTTATATAATTGTACATATAGGGCCTAATATAGAACTCCCCCTCCCACCAAAAAAGCATGCAAAAAGTGTCAAAAAAGTACGCCATTACCACTTTAAGAATAATACATTTTTTAGGCCTTGCCAATGCATTGATATTCAAATTATTATTATATTAAAACGTGACAATAATGTGGACTTGCCTGACTAAATAAATTGGATGAATGAATGCCAATTTTTCTGTAGCCTATGTGGCCGATGCAGGCAAACGTAATAAAGCCACGAATAGCGGTTGAATTCATCTCACTATTTGAATCTCACATCGCTGTTTTTATCATGAGAAAGTGACCAAAAACCAGGTTCATTTTTTTATGGAAGGATTTGTATGGAAAGCCAAGTTGAAGCCAACATTAGATGTTGTCGTCCTCATAATAACCACATATGGTTTTACCGCAACAGAGTAGCGCAACACCCTTCAAATGAAGCGGCGGGAAACAAATGAAAGAGGCCACATCTCTCACAAAAACGGATCAAAAATGAAATCAGGAGAACTTAGAAATTTGCTACAATAATTACAGAGCTCCACCTGTTTTGAGCCCCACCTGTTTTGAGCCACATCTGTTTTGCATGTTATTTAGGCCATTAATTCGTGTCACATATCAGTTTGCAAATAATGTAAAAAAAATTAACATTTACCTTGATTTAATAAAGCCGCATACAAACATGGTCTCTTTCCTGAGCAAAGCAGCTCCAAAACGCAGGCGTTTTAGCCTAGCTCAGTGCTTTCTGTGATGGAGGGGCAGCCATCGAAAATATAGAGCGTAAGCATTGGTAATCTTCTCTAGTTGCGCCGTAATTGGCTCAGTGTTCTGTCACTCATGGGGACACTAGGTCACTGGCGAATCTACAAGGAGAGCTAGGCAGTTCAAGCCCCATGCCATAGATTTACATTAGAAGTGCCCGTCCAAGAAGGCTCAAGGTCATTGGACACAGATAAAATGACGTCAAATCACGTTATATCTACTGTAGCTTTGATTGGACTGATCATGTCAACATCACACTTTCACAATCTTAGCTAGCAAGCTAGACAAGCAGTCATCATCATGATTCATGTCGACAATCTACTGGCAAATCCTTTTCAATCCTTGTCATATGAAGAGAAATTATAGCTAAAACGTATTGGTGCTCATCAGCCATTGGACATAAACATTACACAACAAGTCGGAAATCGCAAATTAAACAATGAGTGGTTTGGAAGGAATCAATGGCTAACTGTGAGCGTTGCAAAACAATCCCTATTTTACTTCCCATGCCTGCTATTTGGTGGAGAGGGTGTGTGGTCCAAGTCTGGGTTTAAGGATTTAAAACATCTGTCTGAAAGGGTCTCTTTTCAAGCTTAAAAAGGATAAACATTCACACGCAACACCATGGGCAAGAAAAGGTTGAATACATTGGCCATGCTGTCAATCCAACATGACTTCTGCCACGTTCAAACCAACTGGGAACTCAGGGGGGAAAAAACGAGCTTGGACTGGGAAAATATGTTTTGAACGGCCATCCAACTCGCAATTCCAAGTCGGGAACTCTGGCCTCTTTCTAGAGCTCTGACCTGAAGATCACTGACGTCATGATTCAATCTTATGTTTTTCATAGTTCCCAGTTGTCTTGAAAGCACCATAAATCCAGATAATGACAGACTTTGATGACAAAGTTTGATGACAAAGTTCTGCTGCATAAATGATGTAATATGCCAGGGAGATATGTATACAGTAGCTAGTAATACTACATGTATGTTGTGTAGTAACCTGTTAGTAGCCCATGTGTCTCACCCTAAGAATTTGGTCCCTCTCCCTCTCCCCCTCAGAACTTAGCCTACTGTTCTGACTTGGTGGTGCACATGTAGCCTATAGCCTGTTTTAGAGAAATATTATCATTGAATCTTGTAAGAGCTTTCATTGTCTGCTTATATGCCCATGCTATTTATCCTTCGGTTCTGACTTGGTGTACAAGGAGAAGAAAGGCCCATGTTCTGAATTCTGTCGCTGTAAATTTCCAAAGTGCTGAACAAATAGTTATATCGGCTACTCGCTCATTAATGTCTTAATCGAAATTACAGCTTGCCTCTTATCTGCTCATCGTTCCCTTATGCCATAGTTTGTACATCTCAATTGTTTTTATTGCTTATATACTGTACGTCTATCTCATTAGGACACTATATGACCAAAGTATGTGGACACCTGCTCCTCAAACATCTCATTCCAAAATCATGGGCATTAATATGGAGTTGGTCCCCCCTTTGCTGCTATAACAACCTCCACTCTTCTGGGAAGGCTTTCCACTAGATGTTGGAACATTGCTGCAGGGACTTGCTTCCATTCAGCCACAAGAGCATTAGTGAGGTCGGGCGCTGATGTTGGCGATTAGGCCTGACTCGCAGTTAGCGTTCCAATTCATCCCAAAGTTGTTTGATGGGGGTCGAGGTTAGGGCTTTGTGCTGGCCAGTCAAGTTCTTCCACACTGATTTCTGTATGGACCTCGCTTTGTGCACAGGGGCATTGCATTGCTGAAACAGGAAATGGGCTTCCCCAAACTGTTGCCACAAAGTTGGAAGCACAGAATCGTCTAGAATGTCATTGTACGCTGTAGCGTTAAGATTTCCCTTCACTGGAACTAAGGGGCCTAGCCCGAACCATGAAAAACAGCCCCAGACAGTTATTCCCCCTCCACCAAACTTTACAGTTGGCACTATGAAGTTGGCACTACGCAGCTGAGCCTTTGTTGCGCCTAGACGTTTCCACTTCACAATAACAGCACTTAAAGTTGACCGGGGCAGCTCTAGCAGGGCAGAAATTTGACAACCTAACTTGTTGGAAAGGTGGCATCCTATGACGGTGTCACGTTGAAAGTCAATGAGCTCTTCAGTAAGGCCATTCTACTGTCAATGTTTGTCTATTGAGATTGCATGGCTGTGTGCTCGATTTTATACACCTGTCAGCAACGGGTGTGGCTGACATAGCCTAATCCATTCATTTGAAGGGGTGTCCACATAGTTTTGTATATATAGTGAACCTTATTCATCATTTTAGGCAATGTTGCAATGATTTCATTGTTTTGCTTACTTTGTGTATTATAATTACAGTAGCTCATGTGCTTTTCTTCACAAGGAGGGGATACTATATAATGTTGTTGGGTCTGTAACCATGTTTGCCAGTGATTCTCTTCCCATTCAAAAAAACATTCTGCAACAAAAAGTTCAGTAATAGACCCATGTAATTCCAGTTGATATTGTGAGGGTTGTTTTTTTGTGCAATACGCTGTCTGTGTGTCAGTATATTGTCTATAAAAGAGAATCCTCGTGATTGTATTTTCCTTCCTTTTTAGACCACATAGGCCTAATGAAAGAATGCAATGTTGTGTAGTGGCATTGCTGGCATGCATCTAAAAATACATTTGTTGAGTTTGCGCCAGTTTGTTGAGTATGCTAAAATCGCCACTGGTGTTGCGCAATAGTCTATCCTACACAATTGTGCACAGTAGACTTCCAAAGCACAAAAACATATGAAAGCAAGAACTCATTACCTTGATGCTTTCTCTGTTAAAACTAATTAGACCCTGCTGTAAATCAAGCAGACAACAACAGATGAGCAACACCAATTCACTAGGGATATTAGATACAACGTGGATCGAGGCAACAAATGTCTTTACCGGCGTAATGAATGAGACGGCAAAATATTCTGGACATTCCTCTCAAGCACCTTTTTTCCAGTACCTAGGCTGTTGTTGAATCGCATGCGCTATCACAACAGCTGTTCGTCACTTGCCTGTCATTCTGAAAATTCCTTCCTGGATCAGATGATGTGTGAAAATATCATGGCTCAACTAATCAGCTGGACACCAAATACACATCCAACAAGGATTATGCATAATTATTGAAGAACCATGTTAATTACAGTATCGATTTAGGTTTTAAGTATCAAGGTAAGGTGGCTCCTTCGGTTAGAAGCATTCGATTTTGGAGGATATTCATTCATATGATAGGTGAGATATACAAAACCTTGCAGAGAGCCTATCTGACAAGCTCTTAAAAAAATATATAAACTACTGGAACCAAGACTTAAAAAGAACTGATATTGGCACTAGATGGAGGGAATGAAGGAACATAACTAACGAAATTACAGTTAACAAAAATGTAAGCTTAATACAGTATAAACTAATGTATAGAATTTATTATACAACAGACAAAATTCACAAGGAGTCATGTCTTAAGTGTAAAACTAACAAGCCTTCTGTAAACGCTATAAAGTCCAAAAGTTATGGGCGGAGTTAGAAAGTTGGCTGTCTTTTAATTTATAATGTACTTTTAATCCGTCTGTCTGCATATTTCAAGACATGGCATATGAGGGTGCAGTGAGATACCCGATGGATTGGATGGGTTGGATGATACTTTTCTCGTCAATCACCTTGAAAAAACGTATACTTAAAAACTGGAAATCAACCAACCCGCCATCGTTAACACAATGGAAAGGGCAAATGCTTTATTATCTAAATGTTGAAAGTGCGTGGGCGACGGAGAGAAACTAAATGGTGCAGTTTGAGGCCATGTGGCGTAAAGTGATGCAGGCGCTGGAGATGGCGTGTGAGCAGGTGTGTCTGGGCAGGTGTGAGGTCGTTGATGTTGTGTGAGCTGTCATTTGTATGTTTTGTACTGTTTTAAAAAATAAATAAATAAATATATATATATATATATATATATATATATATATATATATATATATATATATATATATATATATAGAAACATTCGATTTTGCAATGCATATATTATTTTGGATTTGTGTGCCCATGAAAACTGTTTTCACCCCAAAACATAAGGAGACACGAAATGTTACATAGTTACACTGCATTTCTGAGAACTCTCTACAAAAAACTGTCCGACAGCTAGATCCAGGATTCTTATAGGGTTCAAGTTCAATGTCTAATATAACTGATTAATGCTTAATATATGATATGACAACTTGCACTGCCATAAATGCAAGTACAGTAATGTTTCATGTCACACGAATTTGGACAAATCTGTCAAGACACCAACTATGATAAAGGGTTAAACATAGGTCTTAAATCAACAAGTGAATTTTATTGACTCTAGCTATGATCCCCCCTTCTCTCTTAATGTAATGACATGAAAAAATTGGCTGATTATTATTAACGAATTATCAACAGCTGTAACAAGTTGTCCAGTGTAGGAAATCCTCACTGGTACCCTAGTTTATAGAAAGACCCAAATGTTATCACATGGCCTTTTAATGAGCAAAGCTATTTGAATGGATTGCACTGCCAACAAGCTGCTCTAATTAAGAATATCCTCAACATTGTATCGTGAGGAGTCTATTACACAAACATATTACACACCCCTACATGTGGGACACAGGTTCATTGCCCTGCATTCCTGTGTAGATTGTCAACCTATGCACGTTTGCCAGACGGCTTCTTTTCAAATAATTTTAGCGGGTCAATTTAGCCTATTAGCACAGGCTGTGAATGGGCTTGTCACTCCACTCCAGCTAATTTGATAGGATGGAAAAGCTATTCCTGCTATAGGCTATCCATTCATACTTATCCCCAGGAGAGGCAGGGAAGCATTTCACACTGTGGTTGTACAGACTGGATTGATCGAATTGGAGGAATTCATAGAATGTTCTTGAAAATATATTGGTGTAAACTGAAATAAGAAAAAGTGAGCAATAGTGCTTTGTGGAAGAGTGAAGACAGTTTGATGGTAGACAAGCCTCCTACAGATTCAAAACAACTCAGGTTTGTTAACCAGTTTAACAGATGAAAATCGTAAAATCTTAACAAAAAGGTAAACTCAGCGATATGACGTAGATGCAGAAAGTAAACAGCATAGTGGGTCAATTTCCGTAACATCTAACAGAGTTAAAGCGAGAGGCTCAACTTCTCCTCTGTTTTGGTCCTGTGGCAACCACGCTGTAACAGCGTGAAGCAAACCCATGCACATGCGCAGATACTGTGTGTGATTGTGTTCGAGCAAAGTCTTGCATCTCACTCATCTCAATATCTGCTGTGCTGCTCGTGGCAAGTCTACCTTTAACCACGTTACATAATGTTTAGGCTAAAGTTCTCCCTTAAGGGTTTCGGTTTCTGCTGAAACCAATAGTCATTACACCCATCTTCTTCATTCAGTCAATATGGCAGATTTCAGGCTATAGATCTCAGATTTCAGGCTATTTTCCCAAAATGGTTGATAGTAACGTTGTAATATAATCACAGCTATAAGTACTCCATAGGGATGGTGATTTATACAAGCCAAGTGTAAAATGTAAAATATCAAGGGAGACATTTTCTCAAGGAGAACCTTCTTCTGAAGACTCTCTCTACTGACATATCAACCGCTGCCACAAATTTGGCAATACATTCAGGTTGCCATGATGATTTTTTCTACCAGGTCGAACAGACCTATAGAAAGCTCGACCATATATCTTATCTTGAGAGAGACATGCAATCGCAAACAAATAGAATAGGGGTAGGTATAGGCAATAGGCTGCGTACATTTCACTTTAGTCATTTTCTATTAAGGTATCTTTACTTTTACCCAGGTATAATAATAATAATAATAATAATAATAATATGCCATTTAGCAGACGCTTTTATCCAAAGCGACTTACAGTCGTGCGTGCATACATTTTTTTTGTGTATGGGTGGTCCCGGGGATCGAACCCACTACCTTGGCGTTACAAGCGCCGTGCTCTACCAGCTGAGCTACAGAGGACCAGAGGTATGACAATTGGGTACTTTTTCCACCACTGCCCAAAGTTGCAAAGAAAATGTTGTGATACATTTGATAAACACAAGAGACCAGCAAAATGGATAAAAGCGCAGTAGCAGGAACAGCAGGATCTAGTGGTCAAAACCTGGTACTTTCACTTAATTTATGAAGAAAATGCAAGCGACTTCAATGGCTAATTTCTCTGAATAGGGGGAAAAAAAACATCACCAAATTCACTGAGAATACATTACATCGTATGGATAAACAGTACTCCAAGTCACAGCTTCATTTAACTTGTCAAACATACAGAACTGATACTGTATACTGGCCATTGGGGAGGACTTGGTGTGAAGTTTAGGGGGTCAGTGGGTGGCATTTTACCATTTATTTGGATTCCTTACATCTTAAATCATTGTTAAGGAGAGGTTTTTGTGCAAATCAGATGTTGGGTACTATATTTATTGAATACTATATGAATCCTATCAATTGAAATTGCCAATTTGGGTACAATCAATTAGCTTAATTTCTCAGAGATCAAAATATACTTCAACAAAATAATGTTGAAGAAAGGCTTATCTTGTCTGTTTGTAACCACAGAAACAATTTTAGAACAATCTGAGATGGTGAGTGGTTCAAAATCCTCTTTCTTGTGCTTTTTGAGCAGGAACAACCGTAGAGTAATTTAACACTGGTCACCTCATATTCTGTTTGTATACTGTTGCTGTATGTATATATTGTATTCTCAACATAGCTCATCCTAATATAACTACTACTAGGCAGGGCAAACCGTTTTGGTTATTTCTGGTATATCCTAAAAATAAATTAATCATAGCATGTTTTTGGACTCATTCAGCAGTTTTTATCTGATTAAGTACAATACCATTGTAAATTAATGTTGAAAGTTCCATTTATATTCCTATGATGTTGTCGCTGCTTCCTGTTGACAAGACATATGGATAAATTGCCCAATGTCAAAAGACAGTTTGAAAGTGCCCAAATCAATAACTAATATACAGAAACAGTTTGTGATATATTGAAAACCTAAACAAAAAATGTACTATCTACACATAAAATATGTGCCACACTAACCAGGTTCCCATCCAACCTTTTCATGCGAGTAAAGTACATGTTGGATAAAAAATGTCATGACAGGCCTGATGGAAACAGAACATTTTTCGGTAAACTTTCCAAATGCTAAAAAACTAAATATGCTAGACAAGGTGGGATCTTTTTGTGTAGGTAAAATGAATTATGCAAGAAATGTCGGTGGAAACGCTTTTATGCGCAAATATTGATATAATAACAGTCATATCGAAGTAAACTTGGAGTCACGCAATGACGTATGTGGTCCTCCCACTACGACTCGTTAGGAAAGCATGCAGTTTATTTATTCAACTTGTATTTTTTATTCAGTACATGGGAAAAGGTACTTTTATGTGCACTATGTTATCACGCACAGCCTTGATGGAAACATCTCTGGTGGAAAAATGCGCATATTGTTTTTATGCAGATTTTAGAATATTCACACTAACATTTGTCACCAGTTGGATGGAAACCTAGCTGCAATAATCATATTACCGGTATTTTTTTAACAAGCACCTTATAAACTGCACACGCACCTAAAATCCCTGTTGTTTAGACAAGTGGCAATAAATCACTCATCGATCAGGGGGGGGGGGGGGGGGGGGCTAAGGTAGCTAGTCTACTTCCTCCCATATGTCCCCCTGGTATTGATTGCTAGAGTCCTTGTCAATAGTTGTGGCTGGAATAATGCACGTCTGCAGTTTTGGATGAAGCCCTATGAATTAATCACTCCTAAAAGTACATAGATCACACAACTGTCAACCTAGGCTACTCCCCAATTAAAACAAACATCAATATGAAAAAGGATTTGAAAGGTTTCAGGGGAAACTCAATCTATACTGCCTCAAGATCTCAGGATGGTATTACTGAAATATATTATTTGATGCTTACAGGCAGTTCCTCTGAAAGGCTAACAGCATATTGGTCTGGGAAACCACTTCGGTGCAGAACTAGCCTAATTGCATAGGCCTAATGCAGACTAAAACTGCAGATTTAGATCAGGCAACAATAAGTTAATGAGCATTATCAGTCATTCTTTTTCCTTTGAAGCAAGGAAACCATATTTTTTTCTCAAACTGCTCATAAACTGGCCTGTTTAGATCTCAACATGTGTACCTATCGAGCCCACAAAAATCTAAGTTAAGACATTTCTAACGTATACAGCACTAATTGTTGTAAAAGAAGTGGAGATAAAATAAAAGATGAATCTCTCATGTGAAGTTTTATGACTGTACTTACACCAAGTCCGGACTGGGCAAAATGGTTACTGAATGTACGCTTTAAACCCATGGGTATTCCAAATAAGCCCACCTCTTAAATAATCCATTTTTATACATTTCCAAATGTTTAAAACTTACAAATGGACATTTCTTATTTATGCTTAAATTATAGTCATTTCCCCTAAAGTTATTAAAATCAATTGATTATTACTATTATCATGGAAGTAGCATTCATAACAGGGGGTGTCGAATCATATACGCAGAGGTAAATTTGGGCCCAGGCTTTTGTTATTGCCAACTAGTACACACCTGATTCAACTTATCAACTAATCATAGACTTCAATCAATCCTTGATTAGTTGAATCGGGTGTGTTACTGCTTGGTTAGAACAAAAACCTGCACCTGCCCTCTGTGGATAAGAAGCCATGCACAAAGACTATAACACAAACATTTTACCCCCCTTTTCCTCCCCAATTTTGTCATATCCAATTACGATCTTGTCTCATTGCTGCAACTCCCCAACAGGCTCGGGAGAGGCGAAGGTCGAGTCATGCGTCCTTCGAAACATGACCAGCCAAACCGCGCTCCTTAACACCCGCCCGCTTAACCCGGAAGCCAGCTGCACCAATGTGTCGGAGGAAACACTGTTCAACTGACGACCGAAGTCAGCCTGCAGGCATCCAGCCCGCCACGAGGAGTCACTACAGCGCGATGAGCCAAGAAAGCCCCCCTGACCAAACCCTCCTCTAACCCGGACGACGCTGGGCCAATTGTGCGCCGCCCTATGGGACTCCCAGTCACAGCCTGGGATCGAACCCGGGTCTGTAGTGACACCGCCTTAGACCGCTGCGCCACTCGGGAGGCCTACACAAACAACTTTTAAATGAATTATCAGAAATCTGGTTCACATTTGCTGTACTCCTATTCTTGTTAATTAGTTCAACTTGTCTTTCTTAAGCCTGTCTGAAGACCGTTTCAAATCTCCCCCTCTACTGTTGTACTACAAAGGTACATGTGGTGAACCAATTAAGAGTAGCACCTAGATGAATGAGGGACAACAATATGACAATGCCCCGGCCCTAACTGCATGAAGCATGTGGCAAATACATTTGATTTGAGTAGTCGTCCAATAGTCATCTTCTTGTCCCTCATTTGTTTCCATTTTTGTCCACTACTTGTAGGTCTTCTATCCCTGATATCCTTCAACCCTGTCCTTATTATTCTCTCTCTGCATCAATCACTTCCTGCCCACTCCAAACATCTTGGAGAGAGTACAGAGGCTTTTAATTGTTCTTGATTGTTTTTAATCTTGGTAGAAGAACCATGGATAGATGCATAATATGCATAACTGTAGTTATGAGTAGTTTAATCAACTTATATCTGAAGAAAAAAACTATTTATGCTCAGGTTTATTGAATATTAGGGATATCATCACACAATCCCCATGTATTTCAATGCAAACTTGGCTTAATAGGAGAATACATGGCTAAATTAGAAAAGCAATGATTTATTGTGAAAAGACAGAATAGCAAAGTTTACTCAAAATATTTGGAAATCAATGGTCTGGGGTATAAATATACACTATATAGACTACAATATTATTCAAAGTTAGTATTGATCATAAACCCACCTGAGATTTTTTTTAAAAATGGCATCCATGTATAACAACGCAAGGTTCATTTAACAGTAAAATAAGACCAAATGCATTAAAGCTGTGAGTGCTTGAGATCTAGTCTATTGTTGTGGTTCACCAAGTTATGTTGCTACTGTATTGACTGTGACGTGGTATGACTGCTAGCATGAAAACCCCATATTTTCAATTGGCAAGAAATAGTAATCAATACACATGCTATCATGTTCATATATTAACACATGAATCTCTGAATTTACATAAAGTATGATCACTTGTCTGAGGAGGTACTAAAAATATCAGGAAAACGTGTTTATCTGAGAGTCGCCTCCACATCAAGTCTTTTCGCAGCTTTGAAATTGGCCACTAGCAGGAACTTACAAATAACTGTCAATAATAAATAACTGAATAATAAAACATTGAATTGGCTTAGAATAAAAACTGGTATGGACACAACAACCACATGAACCTGTTGAAACATTAAATAGCAAAACATTTTTTATTTGGTCTTTTTTTATTTTAATCCAAAGATGGAAGTGGGCTTAATGGGTATGGAGCCTTAATAGATACACTTACCCGATATGCTGAGAACATAATGGAAAACTGTGTGGAAAACTGAGCTCAGTGGGCTGACAGGAGCAAATCTCTGGAGCTTTTCCACTTCTAAGGCAAAGAAAGACTTTCTAATGTTGTGTGGAACACTAAGAGCACCGTTTTAACTAAGCAGTATTAATTAAGTCGTTGTGAGTTGCAGATTGTGTTAAGGGAATTCCTCACATTCTTCAGCTCAATGTGAATATAAAAAAACTACAGGAAAGACTACCCCCTACACGTGAACAAGACTTTGCTTGATTGAAGTACAGGTAACTGCCAAAATAAAGAACCGACATAAAATGTCTTAATAGGGTGTTGGGCCACCACGAGCAAGAACAGCTTCAATGCACTTTGGCATAGATGCTATAAGTGTCTGGAAGCCTATTGGAGGGATGCGACAATTCTTCCACGAGAAATTCCATCATTTGGTGTTTGTTGATGGTGGGGGAAAACGCTCTCTCAGGGCTGCCCCAAAATCTCCCATAAGTGTTCAATTGGGTTGAGATCTGGTGACTGAGACGACCATAGCATATGGTTACATTGTTTTCATGCTCATCAAACCATTCAGTGACCACTCGTGCCCTGTGGATGGGGGCATTGTCATCCTATGGGGGCATAGCCATGGTGGCCAAAATAATGGTTAAAATGATGGCCTGCCCAGGATTTTTATACATGATCCTAAGCATGATGGGATGTTAATTGCTTAATTAACTCAGGAACCCATTTGTGTGGAAGCACCTGCTAACAATATACTTTGTACCCCTCATTTACTCAAGTGTTTCCATTATTTTGGCAGTTCTGAAAACAAACATTTCCTTTTTGGTCATGATAAACATAGGTGAAATTAGCACACGGGAGGTGTTTGCCTAGAGTTTCCGTTTGCAAGGAAGGAGACTTCGCTTCCTTCCTTTGCACAAAGGTAATCACAATTGTTAACAGAGGTTTGCTTCAACATTTGCTACGTTGCAGAACGGTTTGTACTGAACAACATGTTTCCCCAAAACGCTCCTGTACGTTCTTGAACATACTGAGGTGCGTTTGCTCCCGTTTGGTGGTGTGACAAGGTGTGGTTTGAAGCAATGAGCGACGTATTTAAAAAGGGCAGTGGCCATGCTGACAGCGTTCTCCAACCAACAACCCAACCTTTCCCAGTTTTTCAACTAGTAGTTACAGTACAGCACCGTTTCCGTTCAGTTGAATGCTCCAGAACGTAAAAACGTACTGAACGCAGCCCGGCATACCCCCCAGAAGTAAAACAGGAAATGACAAACTTTTGCGAGATAATTTTACTACTGGGTTACCAAGATTAACGCAATATGAATAAGCAGGATATGAGATATTATTTTTGGTAAACAAGGAAATGAGTGATGGATGATTGCTCAAGCAATTTTCATATTCTTGCAGAGAGTTATGCAGACAGCTGCAGCAGGGGCCCCAGTCACATAATATTATGTTATCCACAGATTCCACACACTACAGTCAAAGATGAATCTCCCATTCATACACTGCTCAAAAAAATAAAGGGAACACTTAAACAACACAATGTAACTCCAAGTCAATCATACTTCTGTGAAATCAAACTGTCCACTTAGGAAGCAACACTGATTGACAATACATTTCACATGCTGTTGTGCAAATGGAATAGACAACAGGTGGAAATTATAGGCAATTAGCAAGACACCCCCAATAAAAGAGTGGTTCTGCAGGTGGTGACCACAGACCACTTCTCAGTTCCTATGCTTCCTGGCTGATGTTTTGGTCACTTTTGAATGCTGGCGGTGCTTTCACTCTAGTGGTAGCATGAGACGGAGTCTACAACCCACACAAGTGGCTCAGGTAGTGCAGCTCATCAATGCGAGCTTTGGCAAGAAGGTTTGCTGTGTCTGTCAGCGTAGTGTCCAGAGCATGGAGGCGCTACCAGGAGACAGGCCAGTACATCAGGAGACGGGGAGGAGGCCGTAGGAGGGCAACAACCCAGCAGCAGGACCGCTACCTCCGCCTTTGTGCAAGGAGGAGCAGGAGGAGCACTGCCAGAGCCCTGCAAAATGACCTCCAGCAGGCCACAAATGTGCATGTGTCTGCTCAAACGGTCAGAAACAGACTCCATGAGGGTGGTATGAGGGCCCGACGTCCACAGGTGGGGGTTGTGCTTACAGCCCAACACCGTGCAGGACGTTTGGCATTTGCCAGAGAACATTAAGATTGGCAAATTCGCCACTGGCGCCCTGTGCTCTTCACAGATGAAAGCTGGTTCACACTGAGCACATGTGACAGACGTGACTGTCTGGAGACGCCGTGGAGAACGTTCTGCTGCCTGCAACATCCTCCAGCATGACCGGTTTGGCGGTGGGTCAGTCATGGTGTGGGGTGGCATTTCTTTGGGGGGCCGCACAGCCCTCCATGTGCTCGCCAGAGGTAGCCTGACTGCCATTAGGTACCGAGATGAGATCCTCAGACCCCTTGTGAGACCATATGCTGGTGCGGTTGGCCCTGGGTTCCTCCTAATGCTAGATCTCATGTGGCTGGAGTGTGTCAGCAGTTCCTGCAAGAGGAAGGCATTGATGCTATGGACTGGCCCGCCCGTTCCCCAGACCTGAATCCAATTGAGCACATCTGGGACATCATGTCTCGCTCCATCCACCAACGCCACGTTGCACCACAGACTGTCCAGGCACCTCATCAGGAGCATGCCCAGGCGTTGTAGGGAGGTCATACAGGCACGTGGAGGCCACACACACTACTGAGCCTCATTTTGACTTGTTTTAAGGACATTACATCAAAGTTGGATCAGCCTGTAGTGTGGTTTTCCACTTTAATTTTGAGGGTGACTCCAAATCCAGACCTCCATGGGTTGATAAATTAGATTTCCATTGATAATTTTTTGTGTGATTTTGTTGTCAGCACATTCAACTATGTAAAGAAAAAGTATTTAATAAGATTATTTCATTCATTCAGATCTAGGATGTGTTGTTTAAGTGTTCCCTTTATTTTTTTTGAGCAGTGTATGTGCCACAGTGCCACTGTCAGTCAGTGGATACTTAGATGGCTAGATAGTCCACATTGTTCATAGAGCTAGAGTGAAAGAGGAAAGCTCTACGTAACTTTAAATTACATTTGGACTATCCGTTGTGCCTCTTTCCCAGCAGTTGGCTATTTCAACGTCAGTTCCCTGTTGGTACTAGTGTGTGTGGGCACGGGACTATCGACAGTAGAGTATGTGGACACCCCTTCAAATTAGTGGATTCTGCTATTTCAGCCACACCCGTTGCTGACAGGTGTATAAAATCGAGCACACAGCCATGCAATCTCCATAGACAAACACCGGCAGTAGAATAGCCTTACTGAAGAGCTCAGTGACTTTCAACGTGGCACCGTCATAGGATGCCATCTTTCCAACAAGTCAGTTTGTCTAATTTCTGCCCTGCTAGAGCTGCCCCGGTCAACTGTCAGGGCTGTTATTGTGAAGTGGAAACGTCTAGGAGCAACAACGGCTCAGCCGCGAAGTGGTAGGCACACAAGCTCACAGAACGGGACCGCCGAGTGCTGAAGTGCATAGAGCGTAAAAATCATCTGTCCTCGGTTGCAACACTCACTACTGAGTTCCAAACTGCCTCTGGAAGCAACGTCAGAACAAGAACTGTTCGTCAGGAGCTTCATGAAATGGGTTTCCATGGCCAAGCAGCCGCACCCAAGCCTAAGATCACCATGCGCAATGCCAAGTGTCGGCTGGAGTGGTGTAAAGCTCACCGCCATTGGACTCCGGAGCAGTCGAAACGCGTTCTCTGGAGTGATGAATCACGCTTCACCATCTGGCAGTCTGATGAACGAATCTGGGTTTCGTGGATGCCAGGAGAATGCTACCTGCCCCAATGCATAGTGCCAACTGTAAAGTTTGGTGGAGGAGGAATAATGGTCTGGGGCTGTTTTTCATGGTTCGGGCTAGATCCCTTAGTTCCAGTGAAGGGAAATCTTAACACTACAGCATACAATGACATTATAGACGATTCTGTGCTTCCAACTTTGTGGTAACAGTTTGGGGAAGACCCTTTCCTGTTTCAGCATTACAATGCCCCTGTGCACAAAGCGAGGTCCATACAGAGATCGGTGTGGAAGAACTTGACTGGCCTGCACAGAGCCCTGACCTCAACACCATCAAACACGTTTGGAATACCGACTGCGAGCCAGGCCTAATCACCCAACATCAGTGCCCGACCTCACTAATGCTCGTGGCTGAATGGAAGCAAGTCCCTGCAGCAATGTTCCAACATCTAGTGGAAAGCCTTCCCTGAAGAGTGGAGGATGTTATAGCAGCAAAGGGGGGATCCACTCCATATTATAGGCCATGATTTTGGAATGAGATGTTCGACGAGCAGGTGTCCACATACTTTTGTACCTAGCTAGCCTGGTCATGAAAGCTAGTCAACAAGTTAGCCAGCTGTCAAACCTTGGCAGGTGAGATTTAGCTTAGCTAGATGTATCCTTTCATACTGCGCTGGCTTAGTTGGCTACTATCACAGAGGTTTCCATGTTGAGACTGGTTAGAGATAAAACTGAGATATACTATTTGAGTGTATTGTATTGTGCAGTGGCATGTATTCATGGATGCCAAGGGAAGCCAGGCTTTCCCCCAAAAAAAATCCAAGAAAAAAAGAAAATAATGTATCTTTCGTCTCTCTGTGTTTCATAATTTTCCTTCTCAAGGCATACATTCAGTATCTCACCGGAGAAAGCATCCGAGTGAGCAAAACAGCAGCCCTCTGTCTCAGTATGTGTAGCCCATCTGTCTTATGCTGTCTTGTCAAAAATAGTATGACATTGTTGCTGCCAGCAGCATTGAATGCAAGGGAAGCCAGCTAGTATTTGGCCTCCCTTGATAAAAAATATATAAAATAATAGCCAATCAGCATTGAGCTAAACTGAGCGAGCTCAACTGTGAATGGTCTTGGCGCACGAATTTTTTTTTAAATTAAAGGGAAGCCAGTTTGGATGTGGCTTCACACCAATTACATCAAAAGCAAAACGTCATTTACAGAAAATAATTGAATTGTTGCATCTCCTTGTGTCATTGTCCTCCAGTGGCAAGCTAGCTAAAATCGTCCCTTTCCTAAATTACCCATGGATGGAGATAGGGATTTGGACTTGTGGTTTTACCTACTTCTCCGTACTGATTAAAGGCGATTCGGATCCAACCATAAATTCATACATTGTGCCCCTGGCCTGAGAGGATGGAAGTTCAATATATAGTTAGATGTAGTAGGCTAACGCTAATGTTAACTAGCTGGCCTGGCGCATCGTTGCCCATGAAAGGAAGTTAGGCTAGCGAGCAAGCATTTTAGCCTAGGACAACAAAAACTGAAAGTGTGTACTGTATGACAGAGTCATAGACCGTTTCGGCAACATGAAAGAGAGGATGGCATTCACTGGCGTTTTTCTACAAGTAGGGTGAATGAACATGTTTTTTCAACTTGCGCGCACACACACACACAGAAATTAGTCCATGGACAGCTACATCATATTAGTTTACGTTGATTGGACCAAATTGTTTTTGTTATATTTTAGTTGTCCCTGTATTAGACTAAGCATAGGTGATTTGATTATGTTGAAATGTTGAAGTTGAAATGGTGCTGGGATAGTAGAGGCAGCTCCTGTTTTCTTTGCGACTTGCGGTAACTTTCCATGGTTCAATCCAGTTGTTTAGTAGTCCGAAAATGTCGGAAACATCAACTTGTTTGACCATGCAATATGCTTTGTGGACTTCACCGGACAGATGCTACTCTCCGGTTTTGTGATGAAACAAAGGTGTGGTTGAAGTTATTCTATTGTCTCAGCCTTAGGTCTATATCATGGTGGCAAGGCATATGAACTAACAGGTTATAGAGTAAACGCAATTATCACAACACATAGGTTGTAATATGGCTTTATTTTTCTGGCTTGGCTTCCGCAGTTACTTTACCCACGCTCCGCTACTTGTATTGTGTTGCTAGCTATTACATGGCTCGCAGTCACTGAGGTATGCTCGCAGTGGACACTGGTCATAAAATACTAGTCTTCCGAGAAGAGATTTGAATTACATACTCTGCCATACAGGCTAGTGTGTGTTGGAGGTAGTAGCAGTGGCTGAAAAATCCTTAACACAGCATTCTCGCCTATGGGTAAATATGTTTAACTAAAGCCATGTATTTAAAGGAAACTCACCCGGCCGGCCATCTTGGTGTTTGTTGTCGTTTTTCAAATGTCATTTAGCATAAAAGTTCCCAACACCGCTGACAGTACAACCGTGCGTTAAACTCCACTACAGGCTTGAAAATTGGAGTGGGCGGGATCGCCGTCGCTTATGAAGTGATGTCATCACGTACACATTGGCGACGAAATCTTTGTACAAACTACATATTATCATGTATATTGACCAGATACTCAAGTGGCCGCTCTGACGAAAAAAAATGGAAGGCAGTCGGGAGGAGGCAAGATCAGGTGGGACCATTCTAGCCAATGAGGGGGAAGATACGCGTGGCACAAAACCGATATAAAGAGGGGGGGTTCAAAGTTGCCGGGATATCACGTGTCCTATTTATATCAGTACATTCATAACAACCTAAGTATTACGAAACTTCTATTAGATCAAATAAGCCTCACGTATCAAATAAACCATTACTTTTGTTTGGGACCAAATTCGACACTATCATTGAGCTCCATACAAACACTGCTTGGTGAGCAAAGAAAACTACGAAAAAAACGCCACCTGCAGATTTTGGGCCGTTATCCCTGTTGCTTCACCTCTTCCTCTCTGTAAAAGCCCACTGGAAATCTTTGCCAGTCCTCCACAGGTGCAGTAAGTACATTTATCCCAGGTGTGTACATAGGCTATTAATAACACGTTTCGAAAAACTGCACAATCAAATAATCTAATCTTTAACTGATTCAATATTGTGTTCATAATTAGCTGCTTTTAACACACACAAACTAAAATCGATATATTGTACATTATAAACTGGGTGGTTCGAGCCCTGAATGCTGATTGGCTGAAAGCCGTGGTATATCAGACAGTATACCATGGGTATGACAAAACAATACTTTTTACCTTTCTAATTACATTGGTAACCCGTTTATAATAGCAATAGCCAATATACCACAGCTACGGGCTGTATCCAGGCACTCCACATTGTGTTGTGCGTAAGAACAGCCCTTAACCGTGATATTGGCCATATACCACACCCCCTCTCTCAATAATGTGAATTTCCAAGTTTGCAAGTATACAAATGATCAGAGAGACCATCTTATAAAGTCAAATGGAAAAGTGAATACCTTATTGCAAATAGGCTGATCAATGATCCATCATCAAAACACTCAACAAAAAAGACAGAACTAAAACACTTTTGAAAAAAAGATTTATTTTGAACTCATCTGAACATCAGATATACTCGGTAATTGTTGGTCAGCAAGAACCGTTTGTACATTTGATATTGATGTGTATAGAAATCCAAAACAAGCAACAATACTTTTTTGGGTTTGGAAAACTGGGTGAAGCTGTTGGATGGCTTTAGGGGCTATATTACATACCTGTCAAATATCAATTCAAAATAACAAAAATACACAAAAGTTGCTTTTGAGGGGCCAAGGGTCTTATATCTACTCTATTTGCTGTAAAACTGTTGGACACCGTTTCTGTAAACAATAAAATCAAATAGGTCCATCATGTTTCTGCTCAATGTTATACCTACATTTACATGACATCTAGTCACCTCAAACCACCTCAAGCTTTTAGTTTAAAATTACATGTCAACATTTGTCTCAATTTATGGTTTTACACATATAGGCCCTACCTAACAGATAAACAGAGATGTGGACATCCTTGAAATGGGACTTCCACTAGTGAGTGTTTAATGGCTGTGCTTTTTGTCATCATACTGAAAAACTGAAATGCTTCACTGACAACAAAAGAGGGAAATAAGCTTGATGTCAGTTCAGTGCAGTTTATGGCACTTTAATATTGGAGAACTCTGGTGCACAATAAACAAGTCATGAACTCTACGCAACAATGAACCCTCTGAACCAAGACTTGAGCGAAAACAGAATATCATGGTCTTATCCAGTGCATAAACACCATGTCAGAATCCAAATCCTTCCCTTTTCAACTCAATGACTAGGTTTCATTACACAAACAGGTTCATAAAATGTTTACATTGCCTTCTGTAAAAAAAACAAAAAAAACAATCCAAAGCTGTCATTGAAATTGTGGTTTAATGCCCTTTGATGGGACGAGGCCATTTTCCAACACAGGAACATTTGCCCAACAGGAGTAAAGACAATACAGTATTCATAACCCTCTAATGCAGTTCACAACATGGCAATCCCAGAGTTGACTGGACAGGGATTCTTCATACTGCATACACTTCTCTTCCCTTTAATTTGACGGTCTCCTTCCTTCCACCCAGTAAGCAACTAGAGGCACTCATTATTCACCACCCAGTTGAAGCTGCTAGTCCCAGCAGACATTTAATTCAAAGGCCTTGGTCTAGTAGACCTTAATTTCTACACTGGGCATCCAAATCAACTGAAGTCACTTGTCCGACAACGGGCACCCAACATCCTACCCATATTACCTTAGCACAAGAGCACATCAGAGGGCTAAAATGGCCCAATCGAACTTTACCAAGGTCAGTGATATTTTTTCCAAGAGGCAGACAAAATCCTTAAAAAATACAAAATATGCATTTTTGAAAATGACAAATGAAAAGAAACAATTGTTGTTTGGTTACTAGCATACCACACTAGGGCTAGGCATTAACAATGGATAATCGTTCACTCGGGATCAGACAGACGCTCAGAGGCAAATCAATACATCTCCATTTCTGCACCCCTAAATTATGTTGCAGCAAAACGTTGAGGCAAAGCAGCATTGTGAAATGGCATCCATTCTGCTCTATGTACTTATGAAGGGGACAAAAGTGTAATCTGATTTATTTTAGTTACAAAACAAACGCAACCCGAATAAAGTGAGGATGACAACCATTTGAAGTGTCATGAAGGGGAATTGACTGACTGTTAGCATGGATATGATGAGAACACCAAGAGCTAGAGGGAGCTCTTTGACCAAATGTAACTGCCAGGATATCCCAATGTTTTCTAACCTACCTTCAACTAGCTAAAAACCATGTGCTTTAGAAAGATATGAACAGAGAGGGAAAAAAAGAGACCGCCTTGACCAAAAGCCTTGTCCCTGCATGTAAATGAAGCGGGGTTGGTGGCGCTCGCTTGTGGTCGATATTGCACCTTTGTGGGTGGTAACGGAGTCAGCTGGAGGCTTTGTAAGCCCAATCTTTATTCTACAGGAGATAAACATATGTGTATTTTTCTTTCTTAATCTTTTGTGGTTGTACAATATTCCCTGATGGCCTGCTGTGGCCGATGAGATTTTAACAGAATCCTGAAAGAAGAACATCAAAGAAGAAAACAAAAAACGAGAAGAAGAGATTATGAAATTGTCCATTGAGGGAGAGGGGGAACTTTCATGAACCGGGAATCCTGTTTTTGTTGCAGTTTGTTGTGGGACTTTTTTTTTTTGTCGCTCTCCTTTGTCCCTTTCTTAAAATGTTACACACACTGGTCACACACACATCCGTCACTGTGCTGCTGTGGTCTCGCCATTTGTTCTGAGGACGAGAAAGACATAAGATCTACAAGTAAGCACAGTGGTTTAAAAAGTCTTCCTTTGCTGTTTGGAAGGTTGCAGTGAGTTGTTCAATCTGACAGAACATGTGACGTGTGCATGTTTCTCTCTTGAAGAGCCCTACCTATGTTAGCTTCTTCGCTTTGTTGTAAAGCGAGTCCACAACTTTGCTCATGTTCTGAATAGTTTCCAGGGCCGCTCCATAAGTCTTGTCAACAGGTGGCTCGTCAAATATGATCAAGACACCCTCGCCTTGGTCCAGGATCCCTATAATGAGTCATACAGGCATTTTAGACTACATTACATTTCACTGAACGAAAGATGCGCAACACAAGTAGAGGTATGATACAGTCCTTTATACCAGACATGTACCAATCAAACCGGCAATTTACCATGAAACTTCTTGTCCAGGATCATCTGTGACAATTTCCGCTCGACATCCGCCTGATGGAAATAAAACATATCCACTGACTACTGACAATATTGAGGACATGAAGGCATAGAAGATTTACCATGTGTGAATCTTATATCACTGGACTGAATACTTGGCGAATTTTCCCTTTTCAAATGCCAAAGATTTTAAGGTAGCAAAGAAGAAACCTCCATACCTTTGAAAGTTTGATGAGACCTGATATGTGTTCAATCTGGAAAAGAGCAATGCCATGAGGGATTACGATTTAGGAGTGGTTAGCCACATCTTTCATGAATTTCATTCATTTAAAAACAGTTATAAATCCAACATAAAGCAATATTAACGGTCCCAGGATGAACATGCGGTACCTGTACTCTGGAGAAGGGTTCGATGACACGGATAAGGTTCCCTTCCAGCAGGTTATCATACAGCGTGGCCAGGTGGGTTCTGATGATGGGGTCATTCCTCAACTCTGCTGTGTATTCTGTAAGGGCCTAGAGATAGAGGGGGGAATAGGAGGAGGAGGAGAGAAAGAGAAGAGGGTGAGAGGGGAGGTGAGACAAGGGAGGATATAAATGGACCAGTCACAATAGAGATCATCAGAGAAACAAACATAGCAGCAACAATGAGGGCTAAAGGACGGTCTTACCTTTTCAAAGTCAGCTAATGATCTGTTCTTGCTGGCTTGTGCGACGCATTTCAGTGCATCCGTCTGCAAAGGGAGGGAGGTAGAGACAATGGTCACCCAGGTACCAACCAATTTAAATGTATTACACAATGAAAGTTGAGAAAGACCACCCAACACACACACAAATCGCGGGTTCTTACCTGTCGGCCCACATGCCGCAGGGCCAGTTTTCCGCTGATCAGGGACTGCACCTCTTCTGGTCTGAAAGCAAACAGCAACAGAGGGTCAACCCAGTCCGAACACACCAAGCCATACCTGTATGCTTCATATCATTGCAACACAGCTAGGAGGTAGTATCACTTACAGGCTGAGCATGATCTTGCAGAGCAGCATGTATTTGAGACCGGTGATGGCTTTAGGGTGGTCGATGGAGTCGTAGCCCTCGAAGGCCTCAAAGAAGTAGGAGTAGGCAGTCTTCCAGTCCTTCTCCGAAGCCGCGTGGACGATCCCTGCAGGGGAGGAAGCATGGTCAGTCGTCCACACTAAGCATGGCACTTTTCCACCTCAACACACAGCTCTTCTTCATTTGGGTCAGAAAACTAATATTGGGTGTTACAAATGAAGACAGTAGCTAGTTTTCCATCCAATTGGCGACAGATTGTCATGTGAATATTCTAAAATCCGCACACACAAAAAAAGCGCATTTTCCAACCAGAGATGTGTTTAATCAAATAGACTTGTTGAGGATAAAAGGGCTGTGCGTGATTACGTAGTACATATAAAAATAACTTTTGCTGTTAAATTCCCATGTACCAAATAAAAAATACAATTTAAATGGGTTTACATCGCATTTTCAACTCCACTGATTGTTTTGTCAGAAAAAGGTTGCGGTAGATTTTTTTATTTTTTATGATTGGGTTACCCATTAGCCGACGTCAATGGCGACTCCTAGTCTTACTGGGGTCCAACACATAACGAAAAAGACATTACAGACAAAAGACTACAATTTAATGTGCCCACTCTGATCTTGGCTAGCCAACAGCTCGCAGATGCAGTGCGGGTATAGCCTACTACATGAGATTACTATGGACAAAAGAGCAAGATAATTTTTATTTGTCAAATGGCAGCCCAAAAAATATAAACGTTTTATCGTCACATACACCGGATAGGTGCAGTGAAATGTGTTGTTTTACAGGGTCAGCCATAGTAGTACGGAGCAAATGAGGGTTAAGTGCCTTGCTCAAGGGCACAGACAGATTTTTCCCCTTGTCGGCTCGGGTATTCGAACCAGCAACCTTTCGGTTTCTGGCCCAATGGCTACCTGCCGCCCTAAGCATCGATCATTATGTCACCAGAATGAGACCCTCAATATTTATTGGAAAGGAGCATCAAACTAATCACTGTGCACTTTCACCACCCTGTGAAGTTCATCATAACTTATTTAATCTGTAGCCTGCATGCTTTCCCAAGTCTTAGTGGAAGGTCCACACAACATATCGCATGACTACAAGGTTTCTTCGATATGACAGTTATTATAGCAATACTTGTGCATAAAGGCGTTTCCACTGCCATTTCTCCCATTAATTAATTTTACTGAAACAAAAAGATCCCACCTTGTCTAGCGTATTTTGTTTTGTCGACATTTGGAACGTTTACCAACAAATTAGCTGTTTCCATCAGGCCTGTCGTGAAATGTTTTATCCAACATGTACTTTACTCATAAAAAGGCTGGATGGAAACGTGGTTAATGACTGGTTGAAATCTCTGGTAAATGGATACACAATGTGCACACAAGCCATCTTACTGATTGATTTACAGTTCCATAGATTACTTTATCAGTAGAACAAAACATATACAAGAGTTCTGAGTGGATGCTATTCTGTTGTACAATGTTCTGTTGTTTCTGCCAAAATAACTGCTTAAGCTGCCATTCGTTTCTAAGCCATTGAAGAACACTGTAGGGAGGCTTGGATGGAGGCTCGTTCACTGGGACTGACCTGACATCATGTCCAGGGCGGCCTGCAGCTTGGGGGGACAGTAGATTCCGTTGGCCGTGGTGCGGGCGGAGGTGAGGGCGGCGCGGGCCTTGGGCAGGTTGCTAAGCGCGTGGTACGTCTTGCTCTCCTGCAGCTGCACCTCCACCAGCAGCGCCTTGTCGTCCATCTTCTTCAGCTCATGGAGCAGCTGGGTGCCTGAACACCAGAGAAACACAATAAATGGTCATTTAGAAGACACTTTTATCCAAAGTGCCTTACAGTGGAGTTAACACAGCATCTGTATACAGTACGTGGTCAACAACCCTGGTGTTGAGGAATATCAAAGTTCAAGTTAGGATCAATTCAATGTCGTTATGAGTCTCGACTTGTTTGACTCCTCATCACAAAGCATCCAGGAGACGGGAGAATGGGATACTGAGTCATGCTACATAGCTTTGGACACAGCTTTGGGTAAACATATCCAAGCATTGCACAATGCTTAGCCCTCCCTGCTCAGACAGATGCTAAGCTCATGTAGCAGGGATAACATTGTCAGTCCATTCAGATGGAGCTGTCACTCACCAAGCGCCAAGGCCTCCTGGTATCTTTTGGTGTCAAAATAGAGTGAAATCAGACGGGCCTGGAGAAACGGGAAGAGAAATGTCACATTGCTACACTCACATTATAGTATAAAAATATGATTAATTTCACTCTGGGGTGGTAGGGAAATGTGTTGAGAAAGACAAATTCAAATTGTCTCCAAACTAAAACATCAGAGTATAGGTACAATAGCTTGTCTTCTAGGTGAAGAAGACTTCCAGGCCAGCTCACCTCCAGAGCCTGCCTGAGGAAGGTCCTCTTCTCCACCTTGGCCCATTCGATGCATTCCAGACACAGATCCACCTCCTGGCCTGTGGCTGCCTCCATGTCCAGGAAGAGGTCCAGCAGGGAGCGGACCAGCCGGGCCGCCTTGGCCTTACTGATGGAGATGAGGAACGGCCGCACAAACTTCAGCAGACCCCCCAACTCTGTGGAAGAATCACCACAGCAGAAAACAGGGCTAAATGAATAGCAACAGTAAGCATATATTGTCTACTAAATAAGCCTATCTACCCAAGGTTGTGTTGTGTCTACTGTCAAAACTAGTGATGTTAACTTCATAATAAGCAGTTATTGTCAGAGGAAGGCCCAAAAAATTGTCAAAGACTCCAGTCACCCAAGTCATAGACTGTTCTCTCTGCTACCGCACAGCAAGCAGTACCGGAGCGCCAAGTCTAGGTCCAAAAGGCTTCTTAACAGCTTCTACCCCCAAGCCATAACAGCTAAACATGGCTACCCGGACTATTTGCATTTCCCCCCCACCCATTGACTCTGTACCGGTACCCCCTGTATATAGTCTCGCTACTGTTATTTTACTGCTGCTCTAAAATTATTTGTTATTTTAATTTTTTGGTTATCCATTTTTTACTTAACACTTTTTTATTTTCTTAAAACTGCATTGTTGGTTAATGACTTGTAAGTAAGCATTTCACGGTAAGGTCTACACCTGTTGTATTCGGCGCATGTGGCAAATAAAATTTGATATGATTTAGTTTATTTAGTAAATATTTTCTTAACTCTATTTTCTTAAAACTGCCTTGTTGGTTAAGGGCTTGTAAGTATTGTAAGCATTTCACGGTAAGATCTACACCGGTTGTATTTGGCGCATGTGACAAATAAAATCTCATTTGATTTATTGTGTACTCCAGCAGTGGTTCCCAACCAGGGGTACTAGGACACCAGGGTACTTGGCCTATCCACAGGGGGTACTTCATGAAATCATAGGTTTACTGGTCAAATGCACATGAGGGGGTACTTCAGGGGTACTGTCCCGGCAGGGAAAAATTCAGTTGGTGGTACAGTACCGGAAAAGGTTGGGAACCACTTTACTACAGAACAGTTAGGCAATGGCACATATAGTGAATCACTGTGCAGTTACTGGATGAATCACCCCCAAGTTCCTCTAGTTCGACAGCCTGGCAAATAGACCAGATTATGTGTTTGTTTTGAGTCTCACCTGCAGCCTGTCCTGTTTTGGCCAGGAGTGACCCCAGCTCCAGGATGCTCTGTTCCTTAACTCGAACGGATTCTTCATCACTGTCCTGGATATTTCTCCTCACTGGGAGGACAGGGAAAATAATGCACTGATTAACTATTTAACATTAACTAGATATTTTCATACACTGACAGTCTCCTAGTCTTAACTATTTTTTGTGTTCCTTATTGTCTTTCCGAGTTACTATTTATCTGGATCAACTAGGCTAACAAGTCAACAGCTAACTTAACTGGGGCCCTGTGACTAAGGCAATTTGTGGACAGCCACACAGGGAATAGCATGCTACAAAGTTAGCTACAGAACTGTCAACAAAAGCTAGCTAGGTATCTAACGTTAGTTAGCTAACCGTTTACTAAAGATAGCTTACTTAATGAAAAACAGTTAACTTGATCTCACTGTTAATTTGGTAACATAAGCAAGCTACCTAGTTAAGTTAACTATCATTTTAGAGCATTTACTGTAAGTAACGTTAGCTATATTGTATATACCCAAAAATCCATTCAATTCTCAAGTTCATTGATGTATCTAGCTACAGTAGCTGGCTAACTAGCTGTAACATAGGGTGCTTGACTAACGTTAGTTAACTAGTAACTTTGAATTGTATTGTGTTACTGTCGCTACACATATGTTTAATAAAAACAGCATAAATAGTTAGCTAGCTAACGTCTTTTTGCCGTTCATCATGGCCTAGTTAGCTAGCCAGCAGTGACCACCTAGCTAGCTAGCAACCCCACGATTCTACAGTGAGTCAGCACGACACATAAACCGGCTCTTGTCAGTGTATAAAACTGCCTTTGCGGTGACTTAAATCGAGCAGAAATACGAAAACAAGACGAGTCTTTCTCGTCTGAATGCCTACAAACATTACTTACCAATAGAATGTAGAATATCAATAGAGGCGTTACGATCTGTGCTAATAAGAGACTGAGCTCTCTGAAACTCAACCACTGCCGCAGCCGCCATCTTACCTATTCAAAAGCTGCCTGCCTACAACAGTCAAGAATGCGATAGGAAATACGTAAACGGGCTACGCAGAGAGGGAGCCAAATATACTTTCTGGGGATTGTAGTTCAGTGTTTAACTCTAAGCAGTTGCTATAAATTATAACACAACGATCCTATTTTGCCATGCTGACTCACCTTATCAAATAAATTGTAGCAGAATGTCATGATCATTTTACTTAGGACCACCAATCAGAATTTAGTGTAGGCCTACAGGCCTATTTAATCCAAAGTGGTCTGTTCATGAAATAAGTGAAAATTGAGATGGATGATAGCCTATAGGAATTTGCTGGATCATGTGTTTATTAAGATAGTAGGATGTTAAAAACAATTAATACACCCCTACTAGGTCTGTACAATGACAGCTAGACACTTGAAAACGGGATAGTGCATCAGAAGAGATTTCATCCTGCACAATTTCAAATAAATAGCCTAAATAAATAAAATATAATATCAGGTTATTCCTAAACTAGGATTTTATTTACGCCCCTCATTTTAATAGCTTAGATGCGATCTAAAATGTAGGTTATTAATAAATACAGATAGTTTTCATGTGGACATTTATTTATTGGCTAGGCCTACTTGTATTGTGTGATTGAAACAGCCCTAGTCTATATGCTGAAACCCATTAATTGTTTTTCAAGAAATGGATTTGAGTTAATTGAGTGCATTGTGCAACTTGTTTATTGTGATGGGGTGGAGTTGCAAATCTGTAGCCTATCTCCACTGCGCTATATCAGCACAATGGACAGCGCCCTACACACTAAAACAAGGCCGTTTTGGTAGTGAATATAGGTTACAAGATAGATAGGGTAATTCACCTATTACAAACAGCCTGTGTGAATGCAGCCATACACACAGCTGCAAATTACAGCACCACCGACAGAGCACAGAGCGGCGCCCGACCACTGCCTTTCTCCCTTTTTACGCCAGCCATCCATCCGTTCCACAGTTGCCTACCTACCGCCTGCGCAGCAGAGAGACAGGCGATTCCTTGGCTATGTCAAGGTGTGCGGATATTCTGGCTTGATTAACGCCTTTTCTTTTCTTGGATTGTACGGTGTTATGTTTTTCTGCCGCATTTTCCAAGATGGTTAATAAGGTTTCACCTTGATGTGCACCATATCAAAGGAATTAGCTGCTACTGTTAAAGAAGCCATCACTGCAGTGCTATTATTTTTTCATTGACTGGAGGAAAAATATCACGTAAGTATACTGTTTTTATATTATTTCATAATCCGTCTAATATCGTAACCTATTTCGAAGGATAACCTGCTGAATTATTGTAAACATCAGAATGTGAGAATAGGCGACACATCACTGGGAAAAATTGGCTATGCTGCTCGATTTTTAGGTATTCTATATTTCTTTGAATAACACTTTTCATAACACGAGGTTAACCATATGCACCATAATAAAAATTAGTCATGTCAAAGGGGTTTGTTGGAATTCTGCACCTTTACTAGGAAGCGGATGCTCAATTTCAGAACCATGGACAGCAGCCTATGTACACAACCACATAACAGCCTTGAAATCAAAGCTTGCCGCTAAACAAACTGTCTTTATCTTTCAATTAACAAGTCAAATAGCAAAATATGTTTTTGATTTTCTAACAACTCGACTAGCCTGCTTGAAATCAAGTTTTTCTGTGGCTGTTTTGGTTATGGCTGAATCTTATCTCGTAAAAACAATTCTACACACACATCATCAGCTATAGACAAATATTAGTCTAGCCTAAAGATGCAAATGTTGTTATAAAACATAGTGCATAGCAGTAATTCGTTTACATTCTGATTATATTACAAATCATTTTAAAAGTGGATGATTTAGGCTATCAAAGGCGAGCTTCACATAAAGGTGTTTACATTATAACAGAAATAGGCTATGGGCTAAAAGATGTGCATGCCTTAATCAACAATTGATGAGCCAGATGTGATCTTTTTATAATCGGTATCAATAGTTTAGGGGAAATCTGATTGTAAGTAGCTAACCTGCTCTCCATTTCAATTCAACAGGAATTGAATGTGTAGAGACCACTGTAAACGTTGCGTAAATTGGGCGGCTGTTAGATTTGTTTTAAAGGTATAGAGGCCTGATGTTTTTACATTTGTTTGCCATGCGAATAGTCAGCAAGCAAGCAGTGTTGTTGCCTCAACTAGTTTGTTGTCATTGCTGTCTGATTTGCTGAGTGCTAAGAGGCATCATAATATTCCCTGGCATAGGCCCTACATTCACCTATCTTCTTTTCAATTTACCAAGTCAAATCAATAAAGCCAATTAGACTATTCAAAGTGGATCGCCGAGCACTTGCATTTACTGTGTACACATTAATGAAAGAATATCTGAATGTTTTGGTAATTCCTGTGAATTATTAGAGGCAACCAAGATATATCAAAATACCCTTCACAGCATCGCTTTTATGACATGCTCCTTTATTAGGACGACGCAGACGCTTGATTTCAGGACCTTGGACAGCAGCCGACGTACACAACCATATCAGATTTGAAATCAATGCTTGCCGCCAAACAATCCGTATCTTCATCTTCAGTTAGTAAGAAATACTGACATATCTTTGAAGGTTTTAATGTAAAATGAATATCGCAATCACAACCGAGATATCTAATTCTCAACATCAAATACAATTTATATTGCTCAAATGTATGTACACACAACCTTAATGTCAATGATACAATGAAAGTGGAAACATGTAGCTACTAGCTACTGAAGCCATGCATTTTGTTTTCCACAGGCACTATTGAACCAGCTGAGAAGGAGAGCTAAGTGCCCAGA